CTCAGCCTTCCAAGTAGCTGGAACTATAGGCACGCGCTACCACGCCCGGCTAATTTTTGATTTATTGTAGAGAGGAGGGCTCACCAAGTTGGCTAGGCGGATCTCGAACCCGCGGGCTGAGGCAGTCCTCTTGCCTCAGCCTCCCAAAGTGCTGGGATTACAGGCTGAGCCACCAAGCCCGGCCTGCACTTCTGTTTTCATTTATCTCAAGGTATTTTCTAATTTCCCTTGTGGTTTCCTCTTTGATCCCTTGATTGTTTAAAAGTCTGTTGTTTAATTTCCATACACTTGTGCATTTTCCAGTTTTTCTTTTGCTACCAATTTCTAGCTTCATTCCATTGTGATCAGAGATCATATGTCCAGGGCATTTTCTTGTGCAACAGACATCCTCGTGTCTGTTTTTGTTCACTGCAGATAGTGCTCCCCAACCCCTGGAGTGCTCGGCACATGCAGTTGACCAGGAATGAGGGCTTTCTTTCCTCAGCAGTAGTGACCAGGAGAGAGGAGAGCTGATATCCTTGTCTGCTCACTATGTGTTAGGCCCTGAGGAGTTTTCGTGTGGGATCTCAGACACCACTAAGTTAGGCGTTGTCCCATTTTGTAGATGGAGAAATGCCCCAAAAGGAGGGAGCTTATCCAAGAGGTCACACATAGCAAGAGGTCCTTTTACCTGGCTCCAAAGCCTATGTTCTTTCCACTGACCCTTTAAGAAATGAAGCACTGGGCCCATCTTTATATTACTATAATGAGTACTGGCATCATAGCACAAATTTTCAAGAAGCTCCAAAGGCCACAGGAGCTGGCTATATTTTTTCAATTAATATTCTCAACATGACTGAGATGGCTCCTTCCTCAGTTTCCTCACATGTGCTACAGGGCAATACCTACCTGGAGGGATGTGGTTGGCTTGTGTGCAGGCATCAAGTCAACAGATCCTAGTGGTCACACATGCCAGATGCTGAAGATACAAGAGGGGACATGAGGCATGCTTACTCTTGGGAAATGTCAGATAAATACCAAAGACAACCTCAGCAATGAGTGAAGATGGGAAAGGAAGCCTGGAATGGAGGCGAGAGGTATGTCCCAGGGCCATGGTACATCAAGTGGGTAAAGGAACACTGTTCTTGAGTGACAACCAGGTCAGTATGGCTGGCATACAGTCCAGCAGTAGGAGGAGCAGAAACAAGGTGGGAGAGGTGGGCAAGGGCAGGTCATGCAGGGCCTTGTCACAGGTTGGGGCGTGTTTTTAATGGGATGCAGAGTTTTTAACAGGGTGCCATCTGATGAGTGTCTTGCATGGGTTTCTTGAAGAAAAACTAGGGGCAAAAGGGAGCAAGAAGCCTGGAAGTGAGAAGGCTGCTGCAGCCAGTCCAGTGAGGATGGCAGTTGGGGTAGAAACTGGCAAATGTGCTCCAGCTACTCAGCACAGGGCCCGGCACTGGCGGGACATGAAACGTGGTCAGTGGCAGCCAGGCTGCAGCAGAGAAGGGAGGCTCGTGATATCTAAACGTTTGGAGTGAGAGAGGGCGACTCACCAGCCAGCAGAAGCTTCACAAACATCCCTGGGAGGAGGCGGTCTACCTGTTTGCTCAGCCCTTGGCCCGTGATGGGAAATATGGAGTGAACAAATGTTCCTAGGTGAACAGCGGGTTCCTTCCCCATTCAGCGGCTCGCAAAGGGTGAAGGAGCCCTCTGTGGGTCCAGATCCCTCGAAGGCCACGTGGGGAACAGTAGGTGTTTGCAGTGCTGAGCCACGGCACTCAGCTTTGCGTGGTTCCCACCTGAACCCAAGAACAGGAGGATGATGATCATGTCACAGCTGAGGAAGCACTCAACAACGTGATATGTCATGTCCTAGAGTCACAGTGAGCGACTGAGCTGCGATTCAAACACACGTTTTAAACAACAGCAGCTGACTTTATTGCATCGTTAGTAAGTTCTCTGCACGCATTAACCCATCTTACAAAAGGCACAGAGAAAGCACAGAGAAATGAAGTCTTGCCCCAGGTCACCCTGTTCGTGAGTGGCAGAGCCAGGGAAATGTGACACTGAGATGTGTCCAACACTAAAAAGGAAACGGACCCACATTTCCTAGAACATTTCAAAGTGCTCCTGTGGCCAGTTCTGGAATAGAGTCACCTCTGAAGCCTGCCTATGAGTGCCGCACAAAAGGCATGTTCTCACTGCATGAGCTGCCTGTGCCCATACCGTGTGCTGGCTGAGGGGCTGGGAACACCTGTACAGGGCATGCTCGCAGATATAATGAAGACAGTAAGCCTTAATCCTGATGCTGGTTCTAACCGTCCTGAGTTTACAAAAACAGGCAGCCAGCCTATGGGCCATAGTTGGTCCATTTGACTTTTTTAATGATTGCATTAGAATATTTGTTTTGGCCAGGCATGGTGGCTCACGCCTGTTATTCCAGCACTCTGGGAGGCAGAGGCGAGAGGATTGTATGAGCCCCGGGGTTCAAGACTAGCCTGGGCAACTTGGCAAAACTTCATCTCTACAGTAAGTCAAAAAGTAAGTTGGGTGTGGTGGCCCATGCCTGTAGTTCCAGCTACTTGGAAGGCTGAGGAAGAGGGATTGCCTGAGCCCAGCAGGTCGAGGCTGCCATGACTGTGAGCATGCCACTGCACTCCAGCTTGGGCAACAGAGTGAGACTCCCACTAAAAATAAAAAAGTCATAATATTTGTCTCAATGACTGTTTTTGGCACCCCCTTCAGTCTGTGCCCTAGGTAGGTGACTGTCAAACCCGGATGGAGAAGTCTGTGCTCTGACAAGGGCCTGCCCTTGCCATGGTTGGAGTGCATCCTCCAAATGTCATGTTTTGGGAACCTAGTGCCAAATGTGGCAGTGCTGAGAGCTGGGGCCTTGAGGCTGTGCTTGGGTCATGTGGGCTCTGCCCCTGTGGGTGGATTAATCTATTCACAGGCTAATCATGGATTCGAGAGAGACTAGTGGCTTCATGGGAAGAGGACGAGACCTGAGCACACCATTAGCTCATCTGCGATACTTCTCCCCCACCCCACCATGTGGTGCCCCCCAGCTTCTAGAGAAAACCCACCAGCAAGAAGGCTCTGGCTGATGCAGCCCCTCGACCTTGGATTCCCAGCCCCATCCCTGTAAGAAACACATTCCTTTTCTTTCTGAGTTGCCCAGTTTCAGGTGCTCTGTTATTAGTAATAAAAAATGGACTAAGACAGCCCCCAACCCTCTCTTAGGGAACTAGGAGTCTCTGTGTCCTTAATTCTGGCCACTGCAATTCAAAAGGACAGTGCTCTCTGTTGCCACCAGAGGTCGCAAGTTACTGCCATTGGCTGCAGACAGGTGAAGACGCCTCCCTTCAAGTCTCCTGCTCCGTTCCCTCCTCCTTCCCTTCTTTCCTTTCCTCCTCCTTCCTCTACTCCCTCTTTTCTTTCCAACTCCCTGCCTCCCTTCGTCCTCTTCCTCCTTCCCTCCCTTGAACCTGTTCATGGATTCACTCACCACCTCCTTACTGAGCCTCCGTGCAGGCAGGCACTGTGCTAATCACTCACAAGAGCAAGAGGACGTGAAGAAGTCTCGTTCCTTCCCATGTTAACTTTTCACCCATGTTCTCGCTGCTTCTCTCACCCCTTCACTGGGTATTTAGTGAGCCCCTCGACTGTGTCTGGCTCTGTGTTGGATCCTGAAGCTGCTTCCATGAGGAGAAAGTCACCACCCATGGTGAGCCCTGCTGGGATCAATGGTCTTCCCCACTGGTCTCCCAGCTTCTGCCATGGCCCCTCTATCCCCCCTTATTCAGCCACCAGGGAGACCCATTAAATCCAGACCATGCCCCTTCTCTGTTCAGAAGTGTCGTGGCATCCCATTCCATGTCTCCTGGTGTACCAGCTGCATGGCCTGGGACCCCTCACTATACCTCTCCGAGCCTCAGTATCTTCTTTACAATGGACTAGCAGTGGTGCCACCTCGTGGAGTTGCTGTGTACCTGGCGACGGGTCGGGAGCCCCAGGAAGCAGACTCGGAGATGCAGTTTGGCTGCAGGATGCTTATTAAGGCATGCCCTTGGGACCAAAATCCCCAGTGGGAAGAAGCAGGAGAAGCAAAGGGAGACTGAGTCCTGACCCAGCAGCGCTTCCGCCTGCAGTGCTTCCGCCAACCC